GAGAGAGAGAGAGAGAGAGAGAGAGAGAGAGAGAGAGAGAGAGAGAGCGCTACACTGCAGAGACAGAAACCCAGAGAGAGCAAGCTGGCCACTGCGGAAGCAAGGGCTAGGAGGTGCTGCCAGACCCTCTGCGGAGCCCCTGGGTTGTGAGAGAGCCTGGTGGAGGATAAAAGGAGGGCAGTGCCCAAAGCCCCATTTACTACTGGCGCTGTCCAAGGTTCATAAGAAGTAAAGACCTACACAGCCCTGGGTGGTGGTCGGGGAGAGGGAGGAATGGGAGTGTGCAGGCCAGCTGGGAGCCTTCCCTGTGATCTTGGCTGTCAGCTCAAACTGGGACCCTCTAAGCTGTTATGGGCCCAGCTGATGCAGAGGGGGGTCTCAGCAGAAGATCTCTCCTGAGAAGGAGGGGATGTGGGGAGTCGAGAGGCTCACTGAACTTCACCTCCTAGGTCTGCCACTGAAGGAGGAGGAGGCATTGCCACAACCTGGAAGTGAGACCCCCACAGTGGCCTCTGAGGCCCTGGCTGAGTTGATTCATGGGGCCCTGCTGAGGAAGGGTCCCGAAATAGGCTACTTGCCGGGTAAGGCCCTCAAGGTGGTGGGAGTGCCACTGAGGTGGTGAGAAGGGGGGACCCAAGAGAAAGTGCAGGAGTGGCAAGACCCCCCCCCCCCACGGAGCCCAGTGACATTCAGAGGGAGGCAACCTGGAGAGTCAAAACTGGGTATGAACAGAAGCAGGACAGTGACTCAGAGACAGCCAGGGAAGATAAAGATAGAGGAGAATCCAGAGAACTGGAGTCTGAGAAATGGTGGGGGCCACAGAGAGAGTGAAATATAGAAACCAGCAGGTTCTAGTAGATCTCGAATCACAAAATCGGAGAGCAGGAAGATAGTAAACAGAGAAGGAAAGAGCTCCAGAGAGAGCAAGACAGGGGGAGAGAGAAAGGTGTTGGGGACAGCCAGATCTAGTGGGAGGTGGGGAGAAGTTCCAGGGACTCTATCAAGGTGGAGGGGCCTGGGGGAGAAAGCCTAGGGGAGGGCCAGGGAATGGGGCTAGGCCTCATAAGCCTGGGAGTAGGTGGGGAGCTTGGGTGGTAAAGGGAAACATGGGGGCTTTTGCCTAGTAAGGAGGGGTGCGGGCAGGAATCTCCATTTCCCTCAGCCTGCTGCCCTCCCTCCAGTCAACTCCCCTTCATGACTCTCCTTGCATTTGCCCAGGATCCGATCCAGACCCCACACTAGCCACCCCCCCAGCGGGCCAGACTCTCGCAGCACCCTTCCTGCCGCGGGCCACTGAGCCAGGGACTGGACCTCTGACCACAGCTGTAACCCCCAAAGGGGTCAGGGGAGCAGGACCCACTGCGCCGGAGCTGCTGACCCCGCCCCCGGGCACCACAGCCACGCCCCCTCCTGGCCCTGCCTCCCCAGTCCCGCCTCTGGGTCCGGAGGGAGGAGAAGAGGAGACCACAACGACCATCATCACTACGACAACGGTCACCACCACAGTCACCAGCCCAGGTGAGGCTGGAGGAAAGGGGTGGGGGAGGTCAGGAGCAGCACAGATTTGGGAAGAAGGTGCTGGGGATGGACAGGGAGAGACTGCCTGGAGCCTGAGGAAGAAGCCCTAGACACATATGCAAAAGTAGCTCTGGCCTAGCACTGATCTGCCTTTACTCTACACCAGGCGCCCAGCCATGTGTTCTGTTCGTATCACATTTGGGGGAGGGAGTTCTCAGTCCAGGGTGGAGAGGAGTGTTGGGGAGAGATGGGAGGAAGGCAGATGAGGACCTGTGGGGCTGCTTGGCCTGGAGGGCAAGAGCACAGGGCCTCTCTCGAGCCCAGCTGCTTGTATCTCTCTAGTTCTGTGTAATAACAACATCTCTGAGGGCGAAGGGTTCGTGGAGTCTCCAGATTTCAGCAGTCCCTCCAGCCGCACAGTGGGGCTCCTGGACTGCACCTACAGCATCCATGTCTACCCCGGCTACGGCATAGAGATCCAGGTAACAGGACCTAAGTGCAAGATAGGCAGTCTCCCACACCTCTCCTCTGGGCCTGTTTCATGTGCACAGGTTTGGTCTGGGAACTGGTGAGCTTGTTTCCTAACTCACATGGGCCTGTTTTCTGACTCAGATGATCTCGAAAACTCTTCTAGGGTTCCACACGGTGGACACCGTACCTGTGGTTTTGAGGGTTGCATCAGAGGGGGAAAAGGAAAGCAAAGGGCAGGGGCTTGTGGGGTCACGTTCCCCCAGCTGACTTGCTCTGGCCTTTGTCTGGCTTCGTCAGGTGCAGACGCTGAACCTGTCTCAGGAGGAAGAGCTCCTCGTGCTGGCTGGTGGGGGGTCCCCAGGCCTGGCCCCCCGACTCCTAGCCAACTCCTCCATGCTGGGAGAAGGACAGGTCCTTCGGAGCCCAACCAACCGGCTGCTTCTGCACTTCCAGAGCCCACGGTCCCCAAGGGGAGGTGGCTTCAGGATCCACTATCAGGGTGAGGAGTCCAAGGGTGCTGGGAAGGGCAGGGGCCACACTGGCATTAAAGGTACTGCTGGGGGCCTTCCAAGCATGGAGTACTGTGGGCGCCTGTTCCTCCTTAAGGGGTCCTGGGGAGCAGGACCCTCAGAAGGGACCAGTGCACACTTACCTCACATACTCTGAGTATGCACATAGCCAAGGGCCAACTCATCCATTCAAATCAACAAATTTTGAGGATTTACTTTATACCAAACCTGGAGGAGAGGAATCAATGACCCAAGTGTTAATCTAACTTCAAGGAACTCAGAATCTGGGTAGAGAGACAGAGAAGAATTGGGGTGATTAGAACTTATTGAGATAAGAGCTATAATGGAGGAAACAGGCAGGAGGAGGGAATATAAAAAGGGACCTACTTTTTTTTTTTCCTAAAGACTCTAGGGAGACCTTCTTGGAGGAAATGATGACAAAGCTGAGACCTGAGGGATGAGCTAGCCAAGGAAAGATGGAAGGAAGGAAGGAAAAGAGGGAAGCAGCTGTCTGGGAGAATGGAACAAGCACTTTCTGAGTCCCAGAGGAAAAAGAAATGTCAGTCCTAGAGAGGGATGACTTAATATGAAGATAGAACTGTCCTGGCTGGGGGACGTGGGATGATTTGCTTTACCTTTATGATCTCATTTGCAAAATAGGGCCAGGCATGGTGGCGCACACCTGTAATCCAAGCACTGGGGAAGCTGAGACAGGAGGATTGTTGTGAGTTTGAGGCTAGCTGGGGCTATATAGAGAGATCCTGTCTCAATACCTCTCAAAAAAGTAAGAAAAATAAGGATCAAGCTAGGCATGGTGGCTGACACCCCTAATTCCAGCCCTCAGGGAGGCCGAGGCAAGATCACAAGTTTTAGCCTATGGGGCCAGCGAGGTAGCTCAGTGGACTAAAGCACCTGCTTAGGCGAGCTTAGGCAAGCACAGGGACTGCGATTCAGTCCCCAGCACCACATGGTATGCCAGCCCTGCCCCCAGGGCAGGCTGAGCTGGCCACAAAAAAAAAAAAAAAAAAAAGTTTTAACCCAGTCTGGATAAGCCCAGTGGCTTATTTTTGAGACCCTGTCTCAAAACAAAGAAATAAAAGTGGTTGGAGATGTATCTCAGTGTGAACGTTCTAGGCTTGACTCCCATATCCAGTCATAATCATAATACTTATTGCATGGTATTATTAGGAACATCACATAAATTAATATCTGTCAAGTGCTTAAGGCAGTGTCTAGTATACAGTAAGAGCTCAGAAAGATCAATCACTTCTGTTAGAGTCAAAGAAAGCAATAGGGCAGAAATGACCTAAGAAGCTGCTGGGCGACAGGGTGGACATAGATCATAAAGGACCTTATTGGCTTCTTGCAGCTAAGGGGGAGACATTGGACAGGCTCAGATTTATCAGTTAGCAAGGTCCTTTTGACCTCTGGGGGCGAGGGAGGGAGGACTCAACTGCAATCATAAGCATCCATGAATAAATGACATCCACCTGTGCGTACCGCATTACCCGTGTGGGTGGGAAACTCCCCCAGGGCAGGTGTGTGTTCTAGCGCACATAGATGCCCAAAGCAAAGGACTCAGGCAGTGTCTCAATTCCAGACATGTCCGTTTTCTCCCAGCTGCCCCTCTTTGCTGCTTAGAAACTGAGGGGCCCATGTGTTGGGCCGGTTTCCCCTACATCACTTTATGGCTTCACTTCATGTACCCTGCTTGCCTTGGGAACTTGGCTGACCCCACATGGCAAGGACACAGCTCACACTGCATGACCTTCCCGGCCTCTCCTGGGCCTGTGCGTGGGGTCTTCCTAGGGGCTGGTCATGCCAGGTAGTAGCACCGGGGACGAGGCCAGCCAGGGACTCGTATGTGTGATGGAGGACTGGTTGCTGGCGAACAAGAGTATTTGAGGGCCTAGGACTGAGGTCTTGATATTTCAGAAACAGATTCCCATGACTGCTTCAAGCAGTCAATTCCCCCGGGCATTGAAAATAGGACTCTGAGGCTAAGTGGAACATCTGGGGAAGCCGGGTTACTGCGGTAATTGGCCTTCATTATCTGCCTCGGTTTTCCCTCCTTTGCGGCTCCTCCAGGCACCGCTGGGACTAAAGCCCTGTTCAGCCCTTCCCAGCCTGCACTGACTGGAGCCTCTGCTCCAGCCTGGCCTCATTAGCTTCTCCGGAAGGCCGGGGCTCTAGCAGCTCTCACTCAAGTCCAGCAAACTCGCCCACATTCACAGTCTTTCCCCAACCCTTGTGCTTCTCACAGAACCTACTACATTGCCAGCTCCATCCATCCCACAGAGAGGTCGTGCAGCTTTCTCGGCCACCTGCAAATGGTGGTGGAGTGAGAAATCAGGTCCCTGAGTCCTGCTTTCACTCCTGAGGGGCGTTGAACCTGTTCTGAGCGCCTGTGCGTACCGGATGCCTTGGGTGTTTCCATTATTTAATTTTCAAGCTCATCCTCATGGATAGGAATAATTGCCACCAGTGAGTGAGGGGTCTCAGTGACGAAGTCACCTGCTTAGTCGGCCAACTAGTAAGTGTGGAGCTGGAACTAGAACACAGGTCAGCCTGTCTCCAAATTGATCAGCCAGCCTAGGCTTTTAGAAGATAGGACAAGCAAGTCCTTTCAAGTCTCACAGTGAAAAGACACAGTGGTTACTGTGTTGTCAAATTTATGCATGTAAATATATACACATGGTGGTGCCTGCCTATAATCCCAGCACTCAGGAGGCTGAGGCAGGAGAATCGCAAGTTCAAGGCCAACTAGAGCAATTAAGCAATACCCTCTCTCAAAACAATAGAACACATTATATATAGGTAGGAGAACAACTAAGTATTGGCGTAGTAGGGTCAGGCAGACCTTGTGGAAGGGAAGGTACTTAAGTTACTCTTTGAAAGATGAGACAGAGCTCAGAAGGGATCTTATAGACAAGGACACTGATGTAAAAACAATATTGAAGAGGGACAGTAAGGGGTCACAAAATGGTTGCTTCGAATACACAGGTCCCAGATGTGGACCGCTAAAGTGCTGGGCTGAACCCAGAAGTTAAAATGCCAAACTGAAAGAATTCAGATTTGAGTCCTTTGACCATGGAGGGCCAAGATAGGAGTTAACATTTATTGAAACCACTGCATTCTAGAAGGTGGTTTCTATGCTATCTCCGCAGACTATAGACTGCGGAAGGGCAAGGCTTGGAAATACTTGTTGAATTTTGAAATATGGAGCAGAGCAGGTCTCTTAGAGAGATCACTGCGGGACGGCAAATCGCGAAGGCAGTAAGCCCAGACAGGCTGGGGCCTCCCACACCTTCTGCTGGGGAGAGCCTGTCCGTGTGTTTGGAGGTTCTAGCAGGTTCTAGCACCACTGTGTGCATCCTTGGCCAAACCGCTGTCCTTCTCTTCCACCAAGTGTGCTGCCTCAGGAGGGCCACACGAGGAGTCCTTAGGTGGGAAAGGGACACCCACCTCGCTGGCCAGCTCAGCTGAGCCAACCCTGGTGACCGATAAGTTGGAAAAGATATAGAAGCTAGATTGGCCTCACATCCAGGAAGCCCTTATTGATTAATTCTGCCAGGTTCTGCCGGGATCAGGTTCAGAGCCTGTCCCTTATCAACAAGGGACCCCCAATTTATTTGTTTTATCCTATCTACTTGCACAAGAACTCCTGGAGTCTTTCAGAAGGAATGAAAGCAAAGTGGCCCTAGGGAGTGATTTTCTGAGTTTTAAAAAGTGGAATGTGTAGGGCCAGCCAGATAGCTCAGAGTACTAAAGTGTCCACTTAGGCAGAGCGCAATGGCGGGGGTTCCTGGCCCCGCCCCCGGGGTGCACTGAGCCAGTGATTGAGACCGGGTGTGGTGGCGCGCACCTGTAATCCTAGCACTTGGAAGGCTGAAAACAGGAGAATCGCTGAGTCTGATCTATGTAGTGAGACCTGTAGACCCTGTACTAAAAAAAAAAAAAAAAAAAAAGGAATGTGAATGGCCAAGTTATTGTTGCTAGGGACAAATTTTAATCCAATTCTGAGCTACCTGGCAGCCAGTGCAAAAAGGGAGATTACACAGTTCTTCCTGCAACAGAGAAGACAAACCAGTTTCTTAAAGAAGGGAACATTTCCCTAGCTCTTCCTTTTCACTAGGGAATTCATTTAGGGGACACAGTGTGTTAATGTTTTTCATGACACAATAGTTTCTAATAGAGTCCTATGTGGCTTATATAACTGAAAGTTGTTGTCCCCTGTAGAAGCTGGAGAGAAAATTCTATGAGGCGCTGAATAATGTGGAACCTCAGTTTCACATGGGTTTTCCCTGCCCACCAGAAATATATGTGTGAACTTACTTGGGAAGTTGAACATGCTCTGCAAATACTGTTAGTTATTACTTGGGGAATCAACTGATTTGTCTGTTATCTCATCTATAAATGGGAGCCAAAATGAATAGATTATAAAGACTAGAGGAGATGGTGGGTGAGGACAGTACCTCCTCACAAGACAGCGTGCCTGTGTGAGCAGCTTGGTGGTTTGTCCCCTGCCCAGCCACCCGGAGGGAGGGTTAATGTGGGAGATGGCATGGGACAGGGCGTCTTCCCTCTGCCTGGTCCAGCCTACCTCCTGAGCTGTGGCTTCCCTCCCCGGCCGGCCCATGGGGATGTGAGTGTGACAGATCTGCACCCTGGGGGCACTGCCACCTTCCGCTGTGACTCAGGCTACCGGATGCATGGTGAGGAAGCCGTCCTCTGCCTCAACAGTACCCGGCCCGTCTGGAGTGGTGAACCCCCCAGCTGCTCAGGTGAGTCCCTTGGCATGGTGTGGGGGTGCCTATCTTGGAGTCTCCATTTCTAGGGAATCCCATAGGGAGAGGTTTCTCTTCTCTGAGTCTCCGTTCTCAGGTCCCTCTGGAGCGCTACACTGAGGGTCTCCATCCTTGGTAGCCTCTATCTTGGGTATCCCTACCTCGAGGTTTCTGTCCTTATCTTAGAAGAAACCACTTTTAGGGTTCATATCTGGGGGTCCTGTATCCTCCCGCGTCTCTGTCCCGTGGATCCCCCAGCCCGTAGTGTCTTGTGGGGCTTCCCACCATGAAGCTTTCCCCGTAGGGGACAACTCCCCATCCCAGGGAGTCCACATCTGAGGGTCTGCACTCTAGCAGAACCTCTGCCCCAGGGTGTCCCTCCTCTCTCACGGCTGACCTGGGGGTGGGGGTGGCCTAGGCCAGTCCCACCTGAGGATGTGGCTGCACCTCCAGTGGCTTACCCCATTGTGCTCTGCCCACAGCATCCTGTGGGGGCACCATCCACAATGCTACCCTGGGCCGCATCGTGTCCCCCGAGCCCGGGGGAGCAGCGGGGCCCAACCTCACCTGCCGTTGGGTCATTGAAGCAGCTGAGGGACGCCGCCTACACCTGCATTTTGAGAGGGTCTCACTGGATGAGGACAATGACCGGTGAGAGTCTGGGCTCAGGTCAGATGCCTCCACCTTGGGACAGGAGGGCGACTATTGTCCCGTGGAGACAGATGTGGGCTGGATCTCCGTCAGGCTATGTGTCAAAATTCAGCCCTGACTCTCTCTTAAGGGATGTAACTGCACAATCTTCAACGAGTTGTTGAGGCTTTCTGTACCTGTTTTCTCATCTAGAGGGTGCAGATAGCAGTACTTCTCGAGATACATAATTAATAATGGCATTAAACTATGTCAAGTACTTGAAATGATGCCCAGCACATGACAAGCACCACAAAAGCATTTGAAATCTTTTTTACTTAAGCTGCCATCGCCGCCCTGCCACCACTTGCTGCATCTCTCCACTTGCTGTGTGATCTTAGGGTACTTAATCTTCCAGTACCTTGCTGTCTTCGTCTATAAAGTGAAGGATAGTCATGGTGTCAGACTCAAGAGCACTTGTGAAAATCAAACAAGATAAAAGGTGTAAGGGCCTAAAAGAAGGCATAGCAGGGACCAGGGAGATGGCTCAGTGGAATAAGCGCTTCCCTGGCAAGCCCAAGGGCCTGAGTTCAATCCCTGGTTCCGCAAAAAAA